CTTTTCGTGAACACACAACATGCTGCTGGGTGAAATTCGAGAATTTTTTTATTGATTGTATTTAATTTGTACATGGATTTTAAGGGCTCAAAACAATAAGGAATGTATTATTCTCTAATTTTCTATAGTTGCCCTCATATTGTAATCTATTTTCATTTAAAATTTCTCAAGCCAGGGGGAGAACTGATCATCCACGCTGGCACCAATAACATCTCTGAGGGTGCTGGTGAAGTTTGCCACCAAATCACAGACCTCGGCAAGTCTGTTGCTGCCGAGGGGTTTAACGTCTCAGTCTCTACGATCATCCATCGTAGAGGGGAGAGTGAAGCGGACAAGAAGCGGGTTGATGAGATCAACTATCTGATGGAGTTGGCAGCCAGCGAGAACAGATGGGGCCTCATCATCAACAATGATATCAGCGAGCAGCATCTCGGGCGTGATGGCGTTCACCTCAACAGAGCCGGTCAACGAATCTTGGCAGGCAACCTGAAACGCCTCATCAACAGTGCTGACCAACCGACAACACGAGGCCATGGCTGGACTCAACGGTCGTCCGATCAAGTTACAGGCAGTGAACCTGGAGCAAGGCGGCATCAAGCCATCTACCGAGAAAACCAGAGTCTTCATTCTGATGAGGAGAAAAGCAGCCCCGTAAAGTCCTACGCCGAATCTGTTTCTGGGAGATCTTTGGATTTCAGTGCAGTCAAACAGAGGTCACGACTGAAACCAGCCTTCAGACCATCCAAGGTGGACATGAAAGACTGGGCGAAATATCTTCAATTTGTAAGAAGGGTATTGAATTAAGTGAAAGTTTGACAAAATCTAGTGATGATCCGAAAATTATAGTTGACGGTCGAAAATATAAGTTCCCTTGTGGGAACTGTGATAAGCCAGTCAAATGTAATCAACACGGCCTTCTGTGTTCTTATTGTAAAAAATGGTTTCACACTAATTGTCAAGCTATCAGTTTTTCAGAGTACCGGAGGTTATATTATGAATGCCCTGATGAGAAGTGGAATTGTTTAACATGTTGTCTGCCATCTTTTTGTGACTCATTATTTAACGACGATTGTTTAGAGAAAGAAAGCCAAAACGAGTATAGACTAAAAGAAAACTATTTTAAGATAACGCGCGTTACACCTGAAAAGCAAGCGATAGCAAGAGTAATTCAGCCAAACCTCAGAGATGAAAACACTTCTCTTTATCAAGAATTTGAAGAAAAGTTTAAAGTTAAAGGTCTTCATTTTTTACACCTTAATGTGAGGTCTATTCTAAACAAGATATCGGAACTTAGAATTCTTTTTAAAAGAAAAAGGCTGTCTATTATTGCTTTCACTGAAACATGGTTAAACAATTCCATAAATGATGAAGAAATTGAAATAGACGGATATAAAATCATACGCCATGATCGATCCTCTGGCTCTGGAGGTGGTGTATGTTTCTATATCAGAAATGATATTGCATTTAATATTATGGATGCTATAAGTACTGGAGATACGGAATCCCTGTGGATAAATTTGCTTATACCAAGATCAAAACCAATTGTTGTTGGTGTTCTGTATCGACCTCCGAAAAACAATTTGTTTATCGAGAAATTGTCCAATATTCTTGATACATTAAAGAAGGATGACGAAATAATTCTTTTAGGAGACATGAATATTTGTCTTCTTCGCAAATCGCCACTGGCTAAAAAATATATTGACTTGTTGAGTCTTTATGGGTTTAGTCAACTCATTAAAGAGGCAACACGCGTTACACCTACATGTTCTTCTCTATTGGATCATGTTGGTTGTACCAAAGAAAATAAAATAAGTCAAAGTGGTGTCATTGATCTAGGTATTAGCGACCATTATTTTACTTTCTGTACACGGAAAAATGTTAGACTGGCTATAGGTCATCACAGGACTAATGATATCAGATCCATGAAAAAATATACAGAAGAGTCTTTCAATCTTCAACTATCTGTTGTTGATTGGTCACGAATAACTGACTGTACAGATGTAAATGAGGCATGGTCAATATTTCAACATGTTTTTATCTCAAATTTGAATATGATAGCGCCACTGAAACGGATAAGAATAAAACAAAGATCAGAAACTTGGGTGACTAAAGATATTCTTTCCCTAATTCAAGAGAGAAATATAGTATACAAAAAATGGAGGAAAAGAGCAAAAGATGAGAAGCTCTATAAAAGATACAGAGTATTAAGAAATATGGTCCAAAGAGAGGTGAAAAAGGCTAAACTCGATTACTTACAAAACAAGATAGAAGAAAATAAACAAGATTCGAAAAAAACTTTGGCAGAATCTAAAAAGCTTAGGATTGAAAAATAAGAAGCGAAAAGAACAAGAATCTGTCATTAAAATTGATGGGGAATTATGTCATGATAAGATGGCCATCGCTGATGAATTCAATTCTCATTTCACAAATGTGGCTGCCAAATTAGTAGACAAACTCCCCCCTTCCAAAGACTTTTTCAGCGCAGACAATGATTGTATTCGTGACTTTTACGAAAGAAAAGGTGTACGTGAAAACAGCTTCGAGTTATACCAATCAGTGAACAATTTGTTTTCAAAGAGTTACGTAAGTTGAATGTATCAAAAAGTACTGGGTTAGACTTGATTCCAGCTAAATTTCTAAAAGATGGTGCGAAGGTTTTATTTAAGCCTCTAAGTTACTTAATGAACCTATCTATCTTGACGAGTACTTTTCCAGAAGATATGAAAATAGCAAAAGTGACTCCACTTTATAAAAAGAAAGATAAAACTGATGTTAGCAACTATAGACCTATTAGTGTTTTAAGCGTAGCATCAAAGATTCTAGAAAAATCGGTCTGTGTTCAAATTGAAAGATACTTCAAAGAAAATGATATAATTTATGAATTTCAATCTGGTTTTCGACATGATTATTCGACTGAAACATGTCTAATTCATTTGACTGATTATTTGAGGAGAGAAACTTCCCAAGGACGCTTTGTTGGTATGGTGCTCCTTGATCTGCAAAAAGCTTTTGATACAGTTAATCATTGCGTCTTATTGAAGAAGTTACAACTAATGGGTTTTGATAAGGCAAGTTTAGATTGGTTCAGATCCTACTTATCTAATCGGCACCAAGTAGTGGCCATTCATGATATTCGTTCCAAACTAATGCCTATAACATGCGGTGTTCCTCAGGGAAGTATTTTAGGCCCAATTCTATTTTCAAGTTATATAAATGATATGTGTATTTGTATAAAAGACTTCAAACTATTATTGTACGCAGATGACAGCGTACTACTCTATTCAAATCCTGATCCTAAATATATTGAGGAAAAGCTCAGTGAACAGCTGTCTACGTGTGTCGATTGGATGACTGATAATAAGCTTTCTTTACACTTGGGAAAAACAGAAAGCATTTTATTTTGTTCTAAAAGTAGTTCTAAAAAGTCATTTGAATTCAAAGTGACACACAATAATCAAGCAATCAAGAGAAAAGAGTCTGTGAAGTATTTAGGCATTGAGTTGGCTAGCGCAATTTCATTTTCATCTTTAGTAGAATCAGTTGTAAAAAAAGCAAATTCTCGTCTGAAATTTTTGTACAGATATCAAAGTTGTATGGATTTAAAAGCAAGACGTACACTCTGTTTTGCTCTTATTCAATGTTTATTTGACTATGCTAACCCTGCATGGTACAGTAACATAAACAAGTCAGATCAAAAGAAGTTGAAGATTATACAGAACAAAATGGTGAGATTTATCAACTGTTCTGGTCCAAGAACTCATGTTGGCTATAGCGAACTTTCTAAAGCTGGTTTTCTTGAAGTCGACCAAAGATCAAAACAACTCGCATTGCATCACGTGCATAAAATATATCATACTAGGGCGAATCATTATATTCGATCCAACTTCGATCTTGTTACTGACGTACATGATTATAATACAAGAAATAGACGATTCAACTTTAACTTACCAGAAAGAGTAGGTAGTATTGGAAATTCGTTTTATTACAATGCCATAAAACATTGGAATTCCCTTCCCAATGGTGTAAAAGAAATAGGAAACTATGATCATTTTAAGAGGAAATTAAAGGAATACCTAATACTTGACAGTCAGAGAAGAGAAGTGAATGACATGTTATATGATTGATATTGTTATTCTTCTGTCGGTTCATACTTTTTCATGTTGTATATACTTATGTTTTCGTACGTTATAGAAATTCTACAAATTCATCATTATTTTCCTCTTCTTCCTTCTCCTCTTTTTCTTCTTCTCCTTCTTCTTTTTCTTCTTGTACTTAATATCATTTCTATCATCAGTTTAATGTTGTTATTATTATCTTTAATAAGTAGTTCTTTTAATTTTCTTATCTGTCTGTAAATATTACTATTTTAATTTATTAATTGTATACATGTCTGTAAGGGACCCCACTGGAAATAAGCTCTCGAGCTTTCGTGGGTTATCCTGTTCAAGCTGACTTATTTTTGATCTGTTATCATTGTATATTGTTGTATATTGGAAGCTTGTCGAATAAAAATCAATCAATCAATCAATCAATCAAATAACAAAAAGAAACACAAACAAGGCAGGCTGAAAGAAGGAACAATAATGGAACGAGAAACTTGTCATTAATTTAATCTGGCCTGATTCCTTTGTATAATGCACTCACGATCAGACGGTTTGTGTCCAGGTCATGCAAACGGCGCACTAAACCATTTGCATTTTTAAGTATGGCTGTATATGGAGTAATTACTTAAGACTTTCCCCATATGCCCCAGGGGGGTATTGAAGTTGTCATATATACCGTTCGACTAATTTCTCCATGGAACGGTGGATACATGATGCATCTGCTACCGATGTATGCAGGCATTATGCTGAAAACATTGCGCTTTTATTTCGAAGACGTTGCTCAATCGAACATCTCTAATTTGCCTGCCTCACTTCATGTCTATGTGACTCATAATTATGTTCTTATTTTGCACGAAGACTTGAGCCTAAACGTTAGCTCTTCGTTCGCCAGCAGTGAATCTGAAATACTGAAAATATAACACTGACAATTTGTGTTGCATCGTGGCGCCAATAAAATGTGAACACATCATTTTCGGAAAACATCATATTATATCCCGTGTTATAAACAACGCGATCTCGCCTATAAATGTCAAACTATAAGCTTGAAATGATCAGAAGTGACAATTGGCCAGTTGGTCATACGATTCTTTAAATTCGGAGGATTTGTTTGTGCAGGCGACTCTGTGATTCGTCGGGATTTGAAGCAGACTACACATAGAGCACTTCTTGGAGACGATACAGACCTGCGTTGCACTTTACCGCCAATGAACATTATTGTCAATTTTCTCCTACATGGCGTTCGCACCGTCTCTGGAAAGAAGTGAAAGTGGGCACAGTGAAGAAGGAATTACCGGAAAGGATTTGGATAGAGATGGATCACGTATTTTTACTGTCAGGTAAATTCATCACTCATTATGATGATAATCTTAATAAATTAAATACTAAAAGCCAATTATTGATAATTGACTTTGTCACTTGGCGTTGTTGCCGCTAAACGTTATTGAACGTCAATCGCTTCATCGAGAATTGCTGAATTACAAAAGAACATTATCATTATCAAAAGGATAATACATAATTTGATTTTAACTTTGTGATGTGTATAATTCAATAGACTTGTTTACCTGAAACTGTATTGATCTGTTTATTCGGACATGAAATAGAAATTTTGAGTTTCCGGAATATCTTTAAATGTTTACTGGGGTTTTGATATTCAAAGCTTATCCGGCACTGGAGGGGGTATTCACATTTCTTCTGCGGTAAATTTGCCGTACATTAAATAACTTTTAAGGTATTTTGTTGAAATTGAACTTTTATTGAAAAAGCCACGATAGAATTCGGCAAGATATTGATAGCAAAAATCATGTCTATCAAAATGGTCATCAAACTTGTAGTAAAACATTACATTAAAACGAAATAGTGTTTGGGGCATATTTTGTGGCATTACTGATTCATACAAATTCTTTGTGCTAAAAAAATCACTCATTGAAACGTGCACTGGGGTAAAATCTGACTTAAACATTAATGTAATTAGTGTTATTGTGTATATCAAAATAATAACCAAAACAGGTACTACAGGCTACATGTAGTTCATCGTCATCGCATAATTTCCTTTACTGTTTCAAAATACAGCAGCCCAAGCGTTTATCAGAAGGCAAGGCAGTTGATATATTATTTACAAAATATATCACGTATATACGTAGTGTTTGAGAGTATACGTGTACAGTTTGTAGCGGCAAGTTGTTGAAGGCAATGAGTCGAATGTGTTGCTACGTATGCACATCATCACTGCATGGATTGCATCCCATGATCCCCAGGCAGTGGCCCCTCGAATACTTGTACTGAGTGAACGAATTCGGTGAATAATTCATCACGGGGCCGCGGTGGTATAGGGCAAACCAAGACGGGGAGTGTTATATTAGAGTATAGATGCATGAAGAGGAGGTTTTAAGTCTCGTCTTGAATTAGAATACACTATTTTTAGAGGTAGAGATCAAATTATGGTTCAAAGATGTTATACTTTACATTCAATTATATTGCATGTGTTTTATGGGCCGCAGTCATATAATATAAGGGCACGCCAAGTCGTGATGCCATAAATGATGCTACAAGAAGAGACTTTAACCATGGATTTACTACTCGTAGTAGGTCCATGCTTTAACATACCGCCCTGTCTTAATTGAGTTAGAATAACGTTATGTTAATATTTTAGAGCATAGCATGGTTCAAAGATGCTGTACATAGTTGTTGCATCTGTTGTGTGGATGCATGCTGCTTTTGAATGTTGTATGATAATCCATGTGCAGACATAATCTGAGTACTATGATGCACATTGTGAGCAAAATCACCTTTAGGCAGTCTTTTTTTTTTGGGGGGGGGGGAGGCGTTAAAGATGCAAAATCATTTCTAATTGTTATCGACGACATAATAACTGGGACAAGAAGCACAACATTATACAGAATACGTCTCCTCAAGATTGTTGCCAATTTTGCTCTGCGCTGTTTAAGAGGCGCAAACAAGAAAGACAAAACAACTACAACAACAACAAAAACAACAGAAAATAAAAAAGGAAAACCCCTCTTTCTTTTAAGTTTTAATAATGAATATGACCGTCATTATTTTGGTCTGGAGATATGTTATAATACTTACGTTTCTACAAAGATTAAAGATAATTCAACCACATTACATTTCATTTTATGATTATGTTTAGTATAGGGCTTCCCCTCACGCCACTTTAGTGCTCATCAATAATAGCGCTAGGGAAATGGTTTTTCTTCTCACAATCGTCACAATAATTGCTCGAATTTCTGATTTGTTCTTTTTCTTCCTTTTTGTTTTAGCTGATTATCAGTGACGTGTGCATAAGGGAGAAAATGTGCCCATGCACAATCACAATCGAATAGCAAAAGTGAAAGGGGAATGAGAGAGAGAGAGAGAGAGAGAGAGAGAGAGACTGGAGTGAGAATAAACAGAATGTGAGAAGAAAAATAATCATGGACCAATGCCTCCCCCACCCCCCCCCCCCCCCCCCCCCCCCGTCATGACTGGACCCACTATTTAATGAGTACATACAATACATTACCCATAAAGTACAATAAGATACAAGAGATGACATGTAATTAATTGCTTTTAATCACGGTAGATGATTATCAACGTATATACAGGCCCCACTAATCAATGTCCATACCTCGAAGCAATACTACATCAGAAAGGCAATTCATTTAATATAAAATGTTGCGACGGCTATACTGTATGAAGCATGGACTCCTACTACACAGGCTGTGGAATTATTATTACGGTTGAAAGCTAGGGGAATTCATGCATATGGAATAGAGGATGTTAGGGGGCGGGAGGGGGGGGGGGTAGGTTGATGTGATTGTCTTGCAGGCATATAGACGTATGAGACAGCAGCATGCTGTGATCCGCAGCCCCCCCCCCCCCCCTCACATCCTCTATATGCCATCACATCAGAAAATAAAGTAAACTGTAACTATAGGCCTATATCTCACGATTCTATTTCATCTGCCCCTTGTATATTATTTTGATTATAGTTGTGTCCAACGGCAGTGGCGTTACATAGCCGCAGTCGTACCGTGGGAGGGGGGGGGGGTGTTATTCTACTTACGGGACTGATACCATAAAAGGGTATAAGCTGTGACATCATAAACATCTATTTTTAGAATTTCACAAATTGAACTTCATTTTCCGAAAGAGCATATACAATAATGTCCAAAATTAAAAAACCATTGAATATGTGACGTATTAATTGGCTGAGATATGTATGCCCATCCGAATAAAAAGATTTCAGTAGGAAATTACTGTTATTTTGATCTGGTTCGTATTTTCGTAATATAATGAACCAGAGCAAAATAGCACCTTTTTAACAGTGATTTCCTATTCAAAATTTCAAATAAATATTCAATTGTTTTTCAACATTTGGACATTATTTTTTATGCTCTTTCGGAAAATGAAGTTCAAATATGGAAAATCTGAAAACAATTTTTGATGACGTCATTCTTGATCACTTTATAAATCCATGTGAGCAATCCGCATACAAAAGTTGACAAAGTAGACCTAACGACTCTGTCTGAATTACAGACTATTGTTTTTGTATCACAACATTTCCCATAATGCATAGCGTACATTCCCTAATGAACTGAATCAAATTCTAGTGGATGGAGAAAATACATGTTTTCACGGAACATATGTTATGAAACTACCCGACAACAATTCTGACTGACTGTTGGTAAAGAAGAGAGAAAATGCAGGCTGAGGATGCAAGATATTTGAAAAGGTATGTAGATTTCTTACGAAAAAAAACAACTAACGTAGGGCTCTGCAGAAAAATAAAATGCTGTGCGGTTACTGACATCTCATTACGCCTGACCTGCTGGGGTGATATTTATAACCCTTCGCCTTGCAATGTAATGCCGGGTAGAGTGTCAATGATCTGTCTTGAACTGACCGGCTAGATCTAGTTCTTTTCGGGTCGGGTCAAGATGGAACGCCGTTTTCTAGGCTTTCTAACGTTCTGTTTCTCAATGGCAAATTACTCAAACTAACACTAAAGTACAATTTGACGCATTTTCATTGATTTTGATTAAACTTAACACATGGTTTTGTGTGCTAAAATCCTTTCCATAGAGATTGCAAACACCCTATGCAGTCCATGTGCATTGCGCGCTCATGCAAAATTGGTTAATGTTTTTGTTACCAAAATTGAGATTCAAACCAATACTGCTCGTGATCGTGAAGGTGATACTCACTAAGTTAGGTGTCGTATGAAAGAGCGGGGGGCCGTTTCTCGAAACCAACTCCATGACAGTCATATCTTTGTCGGCGACCTACGGAGATGTCATGAAGTGGATAAACCGTTTCACAAAGCCATGACAGACATGATAATTGATATCGATATATTGCGATACTAGCAGCTCAAGAACATAGTCTTTGTCACGATCCATTTGATTGATCAAGAATAACCCAAAACAAGTTTTGGGGCTAAAATTGTTCAAAAAGAAATATATACATAGGGTCTAATACATATAAATTCTCCTAAAATAAATAATAAATAGTGTCATTATCAAATGTAGATCATCAAACGATTTGCATATTTCTGTAAAGATTCTTAAATTGAAGAAAAACCGGTGAGTGTTTTTTTTTGACAGTCGAATCAAAAGTTAGTTGAAGGATACCGTAATGTGATAGTTTATCAATACTTTTTTGTTTATTGTGACGTGGAATTTTAGGCAAAATACCTTTTCTCAGCCATTTTTTATTCTAGAGTCTCATAAACAGGCGCGGATCCAGAATTTCTTAGGGGGGGGGCCCCCTTTTTTTTTTTGTCCGAAAAAAATCGTAACGACTCAGCCAGCCGCTAAATAAGCGGGGGGGGGAAGAGGACACTTTTTTTTTTTTTGGTCTCGAAATTTGAAAAATTGTCTTTTTGTTCCGTTGGGGGGGGGGGGGTGAGGTCACCTTTTTTAGGTCAGCCATTGGCATATTTTTTTTTTTTTTTTTTTTTTTTTAATTTAAAAAAAAAAAAAAAAATCACAGAAAAGGGGGGGGGGGTTGCTCCAAAATACACACATAAAAAACCGAAGGGGGGAGGGTCAACCCCCTAACCCCCTCCCCCCCCCTTCCGTATGTGCCTACTCGTCTGAAAATAGTTTTTCCCCTCCTGCGCGAAGCGCAGTAGTTTTTACGTTTCATTAAATCATTAGAAAAAGAAGACGATTCGTTGTACAGTTTTTTACTCTTAATCATCGTCTTAATTTATCCCCCTCTCCCGCGCAAAGCTCGGAAGCTTTTACGTTTCATTAAATCATTAGAGAAAGAAGACGATTCGTTGTACCGTTCTCGACTCTTAATCCTCATCTGAATTCAGTTTTCCCCTCCTCCC